AATTAGATCACGCAAGTGAGATTTTTATGATTTGCTGTGTGTGCTTGTAACTAAGGATTTGGAAACTCACGTGGCTAGAAAGATGCTTGAAGTGCTAATACTTGCAGAAAACTAACTCTTTTCAAGGAACTAATCTTAGGTAGCGAGAACACCCTGTTGTGCTTTTGGTTGTGGATGGGACAAGATAAGTGATCTCAAATTTTATTATGTTGGAAATAAAACAGAACATAATTGTACAATGGCTCAAAGTTTTCTCATAAGATCAAGATGTAAGAAAAAGTTTCTTAGCTCACAAAAATTGTACCCTTCAGTTGATTGAAGGTCTGTGATTTTACAAAAGTCCTCAATGGAAGAAACTTGAAATGCTTCAATTATAGCCACTCATCAAATATCGTAGAATTGTCTAAATGGAAAGCAGCAAGGATCACCACAAACCATTGCATGTCATCAAGGTTAAAACTTAGCCTTTTGGCAAAGCAAAATCTGGAACGAAGAAAAAAAAACATTGCAGAAATGTAATAATTTCTGACGTGCCAGGATGAAACACAGGTAAGGTCTAACCTGCTGTAACTTTATTTCAGTGATAAGTCCTGGACCAACATGTGAGCTGCTGAGAGGCAAAAGCACTGGACTAATAATAACACTCATCCTGTAACAAAGCAAGTGCCCCAAGCAAGTGGAATACTAAAAGGTCTCCTCTTCATGCCATGACTCCAAATTTCAATTTTCAGGCAATTTGCAAGGAACCGGCCTTCAAGACATCTGATTAAAAAATTCCACTTCCTAACAAAATGCAGCTTGGATCGTATGTTTCTCTTGAACCCTTATGCTATCACCCCCTTTGGGAGGGTGGTACTGTCCTAACATCAATGTACACCTCTGTGCATTTGGGCATGACCACTACAAAGCAGGGGTGTCGACAGAAGTCTTTGTCAGACTTCTAGCAAGTCTTCCTCTTGCTGGAAACGACAAAGAATCGTCTAGCCTGTATGTTGTGTTCATTTTTGTGTTGGTCCGATTTCTCCAGTGATGGCCCACCAGCAGCGGTCAGACGGTCATCCTCCGCAGACTGGACCGGTCACCCCTCTCATCTCCCCCGGACCTTACCAACAACAGTTTGTGCAGTATCCACAGGGCATCGTGGGGCCAGGCCAGACCATGATGCCTCAACAGGCACCAGGCTATCCACAGGTAAGGGGCCTTGTTCAGGATCTCATTGGGCACGTAGCTAACTATGGGTTTGGGGCCTTGGTTTGGATTTATGTATGCTTTAACTGTAAGCAAGCAAACAAAGCATTGAAATATTAATTGAGTAATTCATAGATTTGCATAATACAAAATAACATAATGAGTCGTGAGTGACTGAGAACTTATCCTCTTGTTTGATTTTGTCTGGATCAGTTATGTTTTCATGAATTTGATCTGTTGCTTTTGAAGCAAACTATCTAAATTTACCAGTTGACCAAGTGTCTGTACTGTTAAACTCAGTGGGGAAAGTACCTTTGAGTAAAGCAAACTCGACTGATACACATACTTGTTCTCCTGATGTCTCTGCAGCAAACCATGTACCCGATGGTGCAGGGCACAGCCAGGATGGTGACTCCACAGATGCCCCTCCAGAATGCCCACCCACCACAGGGCTACCCTACAGACCAACACTCCGCTCCCATGTTCGGTTAGTATAGTCTTTGATTAAATTAATCTTAACATCTTTACAGTGGTGACATCATCATAACAATACTTCTTCTGGAGAGCAATTGTAGTATGCTTATTGTCCATAGTTAATCCAATCCTAATGATTCTTAACATGGCAAGTAAACAAGTTATTGTCTGATAATATTTTGTTTCTTGGTGCCTTTGTTTATTCACAAAATGGGAGTTGGCGTCCTGACTTTTTTTCATTAGGAAGAGGTCAGGGTCAGACAAGCATAACAAGATACAGGCTATATGATTTAAGTCCTAATAAATCCATAAACATATAGTCATAATAAATCCTTAGACATGTGTTGCTGATTGCTCCCTGCCAGCTACAGTAGTCCAGGGGCCTAATTTCCTGTGCCTGACCTTTTGTTTGCTTCCCTTCTACCTGCAGTGACTCACTCTGCCGGTACCATGCAAGGGGGTCAGCAGATCTACCCCCAGGCCGCCCAGGTCCACCACCACGCCCAGCCCCCTCCCCACCTGGCCGCCCAGGGGCACCCCAACGCCTCGCAGCAGCACGCCTCCCCGCAGCCCCAGTCCTCCGTCATGCAGCAGCAGCAGCAGCAGAGTAACCACCCCACCCCCAGCCCCGTGCACCAGCAGGGACACGGGCAGGGCCAGGGACAGGCTCAGCAGCAGCACACCATGGGCCCCACACCGCAGCTGGTCTACCACATGCCCCAGCAGGTTAGTATTACAGTACATGTGTGTGTTAATATAACCATCAGCAGCACACCATGGGCCTCACACCGCAGCTGGTCTACCACATGCCCCAGCAGGTCAGTATAGAACAGTACACACATGTGTTAATATAACCATCAGCAGCACACCATGGGCCTCACACCGCAGCTGGTCTACCACATGCCCCAGCAGGTCAGTATGGAGCCATGTGCTGCTTGTAAGACAGGGCAAGCCTTTACTGTCCATGGTCCAGTAATACTGAACCAGTAGTTTAAACTTTAAGTTCCAGCTCTTTCCTTCTAAGAAAGGTTGCAATTACATTGAAGAGCGGGATTTTAAGCCATACCCCACAGTTTAACCATCTCCCTGCTACCTAACCCCAAAACCAAATGGCTCTGTCAGTGGGCTAAAGGTTACTCTTTCTCCGATAAGAGTTTGGGCAGTTTCTGTTTGACTTTACAAATTGTGTACGCATCTCATCTGTCCTTAATCTACAGAATCTACAGATAGATTTTCCATTTTGTATCTTTCAACAGAGTGGTTGTTGTATTCTCGCAATAGTATTGTGTATCTTATTCCCTGGATCATGCTGGATGTCTATCCTTTATCGACGTAGTTACTGTACTAAGTCTGTGTACAAACTTTTTCCCCCCCAGATGATTCCAGCTGGTAACCAGGCTCACAGCCAGAGCTCGCAGACATTACACCACCACAGCATGGGCCCCGGGCAGCAGCCCCAGTTTGCTCCGCACGCCGCGGGCGCTCCCGTCACGCACATGGCGCAGACGCACGGCCAGCACCCCCATCCCCAGGCACAGATGGTGTTGGTGCCCCAGGTAAGGAAGGTGACTGTCGCTTGCTTGTCATTTTAGTAGTTAGAGCTCTTTTCTCTCTGCCTCTTTGTGCATAACTTAAAGGCATCCAATGCAATTTCAGGATGGCGAAACAAAACTATCTGGATGAGGAAATCTGTCTGACATTCTTAGCACATTTTTGTCATCATTTCATACTTGAAGCATTTGAAATAGTCCCAAAACAAGCTTCGCCAGGTGTCTACCAGTATTTATTTTTTCGGGTACCACCCTGAAATTGCATTGGATGCATTTAAAGCAGTCATTCAGTAGTACCAAATGGAAAAACAAGGGATCTTGAAGTAAGCATAAAAAGATACAGTTGCGTTATGAAGTTTGTAGTCGTTGCTGGATGGCCTAAGAAAGTCATTGGGTTCACGAGTTTGTGACTAGTTGCACTGCTGGCACAATTAAAAGAAGCGTATCAGTAACTGTAACATTTAGTTTATATACAGTGTAGGAGTAAGGGCAGGCATAGAATCAGAGGATGGCTATTTTTATACCATACATGGTAGAATGAGGAAGTAGACTGTTAGTGGTTGCGACTGGTTGTTGGAACGCTGCCGTTTCAGGCACAGATGAGTGGGCAGGGCCACAGTCCCACCAGTGCACCTCACGGGGCCATTGCTGCAATCCCAGCATCCTCTGCTGCTACCGCCCAGATGACACCACAGTACCTCACACACGCTCAAGGTCAGCAGCGCACCTGTATGTGGCTCACCTTGTGTTTTTTGTTAAATAGCCTTTTTGTTGTAACACGCTTGCAGTGTTTGATGTTTGTAGTTCATTGAATGACTTGCTACACTATAGCTACTGGCTATCATAGACCATCTCTAGAATAAGCCCCTACCATATTTCCGTTGATTCAATTGTGCAGTAGCTGGTGAGAAGAACTGAAAGTATTTTTTGGGTGGTTGAACTGTGGGTTTGTTTGTGTGTCTAGACATGTTAGGTTTGATAGCATGTGGGTGGGGAAGATTGACAGGCAGACTGACAGGTCAAAAGGTGTAATGACTGGTTTGGAGCTATGAAAGTTAACATGGGGGAATTCAGGAAGCCAAGCATTGCAGGAGGGGACCTTCCAATACCTCTTGGAAAAGTCTGAAATCTCGGATTTCTTGTTAATCCTGATCCTGATTCTGTGTTTTTGTCGTCCACAGCTCATCACCAACAGCCTCCCATGCAAGCCTACCAGCAGGGAAACTAGTTCTGAGGGGACGGCCGGCCGGGATTGGTCGCAACGCGCAGCGGTCACAACAACTCTGTGTCGGAGGAATCTTACTACGACATGCCAGCACATCTATAATTAATGAAGCTACGACTGTTTTAGATTGTAGAGAAGAAAAAAAAAATCTGGGAACTAAATTAAAGAAGAAAGAAGTTAAAAGAGAGTATTGAATGATGGAACGTCACTAAGTGTTGGCAGATATGAAAAGGGTGCCCAATGGCCCTTTTGTTTTATCCTGTTTAAGAAAAAAGCAGATCAGAGAAGATTGCCGGGTGAAGGAGGTCGAACTGAATTTTTGTTTGACTTTTTTTGTAGACACCAATAAAATAAAACAAAACATTACTGTGGTCAGAAGTCATCTTTGTGTGTGATACCAGCAGTAAAGCTGCACTGTTAGTTTTTTTTTTTTATTATTCCAACATGTAATCACCGGACGTGGTGACGACACACTCAAGTTTTTTCAACTTATATTAATGCCGCCACCAACACAGGGGACAAATACATGACAGGACAATACTCATTTACACCTGAGCTGAGTGAGGAAAGTCGTGTAAAGTGCCTTTCCTAAGGGCACAAGATCGGTGGCATGTCAGGACTCGAACCCGGGACTCTAAGTTCCGAGTCGCGCACTCTGCCACTACGCCACACGACCCCACCAAACCACTGTTAGTTTATTCTGTTAAAATATGAACTCCATATACATCACATAAACTACAGGCCATATGAAACATGATATCAAAGCTGTTTATTTACAACCACGTTTACAAGAGCTCTGACCATCTTCATCAATTCTCGAGATGAATATGACTGTCATTGACAAAACGTCATATCTTGAATAGAGAACTTCAGTCATTCACCAACCTGACGAAAAATGAAGGATTTCACAGGCATATGAAACGTCACAGTAATGAGATTGAAATATTATAGTCCTTATTTGTAAAGTTAAACAACCATTGCCTATACAAGTGTATCATGTACTAGCAACAAAGTTTGACAATAGACGTACTTTCATAGACGCCCAGAGGAGCCATGTAGTAGGTCCACACCATGGGAAAGACGTCCAAGCCAGGCAAGGTTATACATACACCCCATATGTCTAAATCTTGAAAGTCACATTACATACCCGTTAATAATGTTTGACCCTCACGTGACTATGACGTATTGCCCACCATATTGGGTGGTAAACCTTGAAAGTTGCCAGGTAAATTTACATTTCTATATGTCTACCTAAAATGGTACAAGCTAAGAACTATGTCTATGAGTTACACAATCGGCACCAAAGACATCACTCATAGATTATCGCTCATTATCGACGAAAACAAATGACGGACATCACGCGTTCGTTGCTAGTATCCAAAAGGTCGTCCATCGGAGGGGTGTCGAAATTACCTGACAGGTGAATAGGTAATTTGCATGTGTGTGATGCTGACGGAAAGCCACGTGGCGGTTTTGATGAAGTGCAGAAATGCACGCATGTTCTGAAGGCTTGCCAGCAGTATACAGTGAATGGGGGAGTCCGCCATGATACCGGTTGATAAAGGATGGTTCTGCAGGAGTCTTAGTTTACTGTTGTTCGTCTTTTTGGCGAACGTAGCTTCTGAAGGTATGTACACTGCCGTTCCACAGATTCGACAAGAATTGCCAGTCGTGAGATTTGGACTCCATATATGGCTAACTTCAGCTAGAAGAACTTAACCATTTTGTCGTAATAAAAAGCCAAAATAGGTATGCCTGGAAATTTACAATGTACAATGCTCCACCCCAACAAATTTGCTGATACATGTATGATCGATGCATCACAGTAAGAAGAAGCTGTGTAGATTGTGCGTTCTTCGTTGTTGTTCATGTATTGCTGATCAAGTTTTTGTCAGACTCCAAGCAGACGTTAGAAGGGAAGACCTTAACGTTTTCCGACAGCCCTGTTTGGCTAACTTATTTAAAGCTGTCGAAATTCTTTTCCAACATCTGATTGGAAATTCGACAAACACACAGATGGTGATTAATATATTGTGAATACTAGTATCCCAATTATTCATGAGTACTAAAATCATAAGTTTCAGATAGTTTACCCCATGAGCATGACCCAGAAAGCCCAAGGAGAATCAGGGCAAGCATGTTTTTCCAACCCGCCGGAGAAGAAACCAACGAGACCCGGGAGGAGACCGACAGTCGGGACAGGCTGATGGAGACAGCCGCCGTCCGCGGGAGGGCGAACGAGAGGAAAGTACTCGGGGTGTTCGGTAAGGTTATGATCAAAACAAACTTTTATTCTAAGTGAAGTATGGATTGTACTTTCGCCATGGAATGATTTTCTAACCCCTCGTTGAGTGACGTGTCAACCGCAGGCGCTAGTTAGCCAAGGAGGTTCACAAATAGTAGTGCCATTCTCAGTTTTAAAGGGGAAGATCCCTAAAACAAAACAGGTGAGATCATGCTTTATTCATGACTCTTTGCGGCCTTCGCATCACACCACGCATGCACAGTCTTAGTTATGAACCTTTGGCATGTTGTTTGGAAACTGTAACTCTAAAATTGGGTCGAAGGAAGAATAAGAAAGGTATTCAGTCAAACTTTGGTCATAGGAACATGTAGCCTCGAGTCCAGCCTTGTTAGCTTTGTTCCGCCCCAAGATCCGCTTGTTGGCTGGGTAGCTGATCTTGGGGAGCGGACCAAAGCTAACAAGGCTGGACTCCAGGCTGATGAACATGTGGCCCAACCTTCGTAGTTTGCCACCGCTGTGTTACTTTATATTTGTTCCTACGCATGTATCGCCCGCCCAGCCCGTGAGTACAAGTGTGGTGACGGGGAGACCATCCCACAGCTCTGGATCTGTGACGGGACGGAGGACTGTCGCAGTGGGAATGATGAGGAGAACTGTGCCGGTGAGGTCAAATGATTTTCTGTGGTCTTCAAAACACAGAAAAAGAAATGTTCGAAGCCACATTTGTCCAGTTTACAGAGAGATGCAGTCTTTATCGCAAAACTCCAACTTTGGTAAAAGTTTTCTTCGTCCAAGTCCAAGATTGGAACGAGTCTTTCATGATGTCACTTTCTGAAGCTTTAATTCTATCCAAAGTGCATGTTCAGTGTTTGGGTTTTCCTTTTTCGTATTTCAGACCGTTGTGGCCCGCTGGGTTACCCAGACCTTGGCTGTGAGTGCGACATCGGTTACTGCGCCGCCCAGCGGCCGTCCCCGCTCTGCAGGTGTCAACCCGGCCAGTGTAGGGCACAGATACCGAGGAAATGCGACGGTAATATATGCAATTTCACATTTCAATACAAGACAACGCAAATGTATCCCTAATTCCTACCAGGACCATGTGAATGAACTTTAAATTTGATTGTAAAACAAACAAAAAATGTTTTTCAGAAGCACCGATCTTCCCAGCACCACCATTCAACCCCTTTCTGTTGGCGTCCAGACATCGGACCTCTGTAGCTGGTATTGTATACATCACCTTGTTATAACGTTATATATAGATCAAAACACAATGTCACTATTTCAACATGTGCTCCCTCATACCGCCCTAGATTTTGCCGCTAAGTGGTTTGGAAGGACCCTTTTGAGGCATCTCAAGCTCTGAAATGATCTGGATAACTTCTAAAATTCTAACGTACACATGTAGTGTTTGGCAGTTTCTTTGTTGTACAATAAAATTCTAACGTAGTAGTAAAATAAAGTAATAAACTGGAATGAAATGAAGTGGTGATGATGTACATGTATATAGCCTTATTTTAATCTGTTTTGATATGTTGTAATTGCCATGTATTTATGTTATGTAAATGTGCCATGTGTGTCTTGAAGGACCACAGGAAGAATAGCTACATTTGTTGTAAGCTAATTGTGGATCCCAATAAAGTCAAGTCAAGTCAAAATTCTTTGTACACCGTACTAAAACTTGTCGTACACTAAAATTGTAACGTAGTAGTACATTAAAATGTGTAGTAGAGTCTACACTGTACTAAAACTTGTTGTACACTAAAATTCTAACGTAGTGTTTGGCAGCTTGTTCCCAAGATAACGCACGTACTGACCCTCCTCGTCCCCAGAGTGCAGTACCCCCGTAGACCTGGCCTTCGTGATGGACGGCTCGGCCAGTGTGGGCCCGCTGGAGTTCGAGAAGTCCAAGAAGTTCGTGCGTGACGTGGTGGACGGTTTCGAGGTGGGTCCGGAACAGACGCGCGTGGGAGTGGTCCAGTTCGCGTGGATGGTGCAGGCCGAGTTTCACCTGGGAGATTACCTGGACGGCACAGACCTCAGGAACGCCATAGGTACACATTTCATCCTCTCTACCAGTCCCGAAGCTTACATAGTACAATGCACGCAAACAACTACCGTAGCAAACCGACCAACACAGCAGACGGGTCTTGGCTGAGAAATGTAATGAGCAGTTCAACCAATGACCGAGAGAGTTGCAATTAGCGGTTCGACTAATGAGAGAGTAGCTACATTTCCGTGAACATTTTCATTTGCATGCCGTGATTTTGCATTTCTACGTTTGATGGTAGTAGGCGGGGCTATGGGATCGGTCTATTCGTCCTTTTCGGGGCCCGATTGTTTACGACCTTGGTGCTGAAACGCCTTCCGATGACATTTGCAGCATGCTAGAAAACACTATTCGTTTCTCCATATCACCACAAAACTGCAACAACAAGACACAGTCCTAACTTTTCTTACTTTTGCTACTTGTTGAACGTTGTACAGCTATACAGTCATTTTAGATTAACTTAATACGGGGTTCTACGGTAAGCCTTTCTTTCGTGTTTAGTGTTTATGCGCACGTAATCAATCAACTTTGTACGACGTCTATATTCTCCACCAGCTCGGATCCGTTACATGGACGGGCCTGGTACGGAGATCGGCAAGGCGCTGGTATTCACGAACAGACGGCTGTTCTCGGAGCTGTACGGAGCCCGGCCGGAGACTCAGGGCGTCCCCAGGGTAGTCATCCTCATCACGGACGGCAGGAGCTCACCCGAGTCACAGGTAAAAATTTTACTACACCTTCTTTGTCTTTCCTTCCTCAATTTCTTTCTTTAGTCAGGGATGCCAGACTTTTGTTATGGCCAATACACATCCAGGGTCTTCCAGGGTCCAACCGAGGGACTCCTAAATGGTAGATTTCCCTTCGGGACATATCAACCCTAGAGCCGAGGAGCTAGCACCCAGACTACCTTATTGCAGCTTTTTACCTTCAACTTTCTAAATATATTTCATTGCCATTACAAACTAAACTTTACAAGGAGAGGTAGGTTCTGCCATGCATGCCCGATTTCCCAATGTTGTGCCCTTGGGAAATGTGCTTTACACGACTTTCCACGCACACTGTACGTATACGGTGTCGTTGATACTTGTGTCCAAACACTGATGAGGACACAGACGGATTTGGTGTCGCCAATGTGCGAAGATCTGCACATTTGCTACACATTTTGCAATACGTAAGGGAAATGCTGTGAGATTGCACACAATGCCTGATCAATGAACAATTGCTATCCACGTAGATCTCCGTGTGGACCGCGGCCCAGGAGCTTCACACGGCCGGTGTGGTGGTGTACGCGGTGGGGGTAGGGACAGCCGTGGACGAGGCTGAGCTGGAGACCGCCGCCAGTGACAGCTCCAAGGTGTACCACGTCAGGGACTTCGACTCGCTCATGATGCTGTCTCTACAGGACTCCATACAGCAGAGCGTCTGTCTCGGTAAGACCATATCAGTCCACGAAGGTCGACGTCTTTTATCCTCATGCACCGGTATATTTCCTGATTTTGCAGCACGTTGTATGTGACGCCGAGGCTATTTTCCGTACTATACGGCCGTAGCCACTTTAAACGGTCTATGCCAAATTACAGAAGCTTAATTAGGGTGAACTTTAAGCGTATTTGAACGTCAACACAGTGATGTTTTGTGGCAAAGAGGATTATAGAGTTTTAGAATTAGGCTTTTTGACCTGGGTTTGAATCCGAGCTTGTGCTCTGTCTTTTCACTATTATCTTTACTATTTTTCACGATGCTGTCGTACGTTTTCATCTGAAATGTTGTTTTTTTATTCCTTTCAAATGTTTCTGCTCCTCAAAAAGAGTTACGATATACCGATATGGCAGCTACCATTCAGTGCGATGTGGCATTGACCGTTTCAAACGGTAACGGCCGTTTACGAGAAGGAAACGTGCTACGCCGAGGCGCTTACCTCTTTAGTTGTGTAGTATGACATCTCTGATTGCCACCTTTCACATGCTGTTCCAGGTGGCGCGAACGTGACGGTCACGTGCACGTCCTACCACATGCAGGTGGACCTCTCCCGCGCGCAGCTGCCCAACCTAGAGGCACGGCGCATGCGCCTGATAGACCCGTCCTGCAGAGCGACCAGTAACGCTACTCACGTGACCCTGTGGACGTACCTGGACAGTTGCGGCACCAGTAGAACAGTCAGTGGGGAACTTCTTTAAATTATTGTACCTTGTTGTATTTCGGTGCAACTCCCGTCTTTTGTATCCCGTCTTCTGAACATATGGAATTTTGTTTTGGTGGTGAAAGCAGGACGGTAGCGTTTTCATCACCGACTTTATCGAGATTTTCTGAGAAGCTTAAAACTGTTCTCTAACTCAAAAAAGTATTCACCTAAACTTTCGACCGAATCACTCACTCTTCCTCCGCTTTCTGACCTGCTTGCTATGATTACGTGCACGTGGTTTTGTTCACATGTGACGTCAGCAATGGGTGAAAGTTCGTAGGAAGTTGATATCGCCCCCCGTCACGGTTGAGAGAAGGTTGGAACTAGATGGCTGATGCAAATGGCCTCATTTGCTCCTCTGTCAAAGTAATACATCTATAGTGACATATGTTGCAATATTTTTTGGACCGTATTAAACTTATCACAGGAAACGGAAGACGCTATTGTGTACAGCAACACGGTTGTTGAGGACCTGGACCTGGTGCCGGCGCCCACGGGCGGCAGTCCGGCTCCACAGTGCGGCCTGCAGGTCCGCTTCACCTGCCGCATGGCCCGCACGGGAACCGTCGCCACTACGGGAGCCTTCAATGCCATCACCGAGCCGGAGAGGTGAGTAAAAGTAGCTGACAGATTGGTATTGTCATTTACGCTTTAATCTCATAATGTTACGTGTGAAAAATACATAACTGTGTGGGAGTGTAGAAACATAAACACAGTCAAGCCAAAGAGTACACTTAAATACTTTCACTAGGGGTCTGATTGCAGCATTATTGGTCGCCCAACTAGTCTGATGATAGTAACGGCGAGCCCTTGTGAAGAGGAAAAGGTTACGTAAAAATACATAAACTTCCTTTGAACTAAACAATTAAGCACATGCAAAATCACCGCAGAATGACATATCAATCAACAGAGCTAGGTAAAAAACGTAATATTTTAGAAACTTGGTCCAGATTTTCTAATGCTGCCTTGATTCCTCCGACGATGCTGCCAGTTCTAAAACTTTCTGAAAGTATTTTCTGCCTTTGTCACACGGCGACTTTATTTTTCACCCAGATTCTACAGCACTGGACATGGTAACTTCCACCTGACGATGACGTTCTACACAGACGGCTCCTACCAGGTGCCGGCCCGCGAGCCGCTGAGTGTGCGTGTGTGTGACATGGTGTACGTACAGATCCAGCTGTACTCTGCTGACCCTGACCTGACCGTGTTCGCACTGGACTGCTGGGCGACTCCCACAGCCGAGGATACCGCCGGGCCTCTACTGTACGACATCATAAAGGACGGGTAGGGGACTCTTTAGACTTTACTAATCTCTTATTTCAGTTCCAGCAAAAAGACTGATCCTTAGCCTTTACCAGACTCCAGTGGTTGTTGGAAATATTATAATTTTCTCTCTGTCAGTCTTAAAAGACTATAAACTTATATGTAATATTGTCAAATAGACTAAATAATGTGCCAGGACATAAACGGCCCAGAGAGTACAATCTGCAATTTTGCTGTCAATCAAGATTAGAGCAATCAATAGGAAAGCAGCTGCCCCTTCATAAAATACGTGGTAACATTTTACCTTCACATTGTAATACATGTACTGGGAAATGCTACAATGGTTCTGAATCTAAGATAGGGGACAAGTTTTTTGTTCAGGCATACTGTTCAGCTTATGATTAATTTGTAGCAACAAAATATTTTCCTTCTAGCTGTGGAGTAGACCCTACATTCCAGGCTGGCACTTCTGGCATCCCGTCTGCCCAACGGTTCGGCTTCCAGGCCTTCAAGTTTGCAGGTGCGTCGTCAGGGTCAGTCGTGCTGCGCTGTCAGGTGCTCGTGTGCGTGGCCTCTGACACGGACTCCAGGTGCGCCCAGGGATGCGGCCATGTCAGCCGCAGAGAGGCAAGGAATGATGTCATTAGCTATCAGGGCATCTCATTGGTTCGTGGACCCATTGTGTTAACGAAGGATGACTGAAGATTGCAACAAAGCTGCTATAACTTCTGACAATGGCTTCATTATACAGAGGAGTATCTAGTGTTATTTATGATTCAAAAAGGTTTGGAAATAAAATGAGATACTTTTTGTTCCCACTTTATTCTATTGAAGTTTACCTACCCGTATGGACAATTCTTTAATTTCTTCATTTGAATAAGGATATACAATATTGGCACTATGTGAGGTATACCATAATTACTACTAAAATAGGGTACAAGTAATTTTTCTTTTAAGTCTTTTGATATAATTTCTCCATATCAGTTAAAAATCTTTTCAGTAACAAACAGTAACAAAGAGTTTTAATGGATCTCAACTGAAGATTGGCATTTCTGTTAGTTTGAAAATAGAGACTTCCCAGGGCAATCTCATCTCAATCCTGTAAGATGATCACCCCTCTACCTCCTCTTCACTGTCTTCCTCACTCCCCTCTCCCAGCAGCTCTTTGTCACAGCTGTCTGCAGTAATCTGGGAACAAAGAACAAGAAATCTGTGCTTCACAATTTTGACATCGCTGTCAAATATCATAACACACAAGAAAACACACTTTTTTCCAATACTATTGTTAAACGTTTACATCTATATGTACTACAGTATGTTATGATCAACATCAATGAACAAGTATACCTCAAGTTATGATTCTGACAGTTATATGTTTATAAAATTGTCATTGCACAAACCTTTCCCTTCTTCAGCTTCTTTAATAACCTTGTATCTCGTGCCAACTCGGCCAAGTCATCCTCTTCTTCTTTCAGTGTCTATATGTACAAAATTGGGAGATGTAACAACATTAACAAAATACAACATTCAGGAAAGTCATTATTGGCAACTGACAAATCTGTGACATAACATCTTCTGGCCAAACTGTTTTGAATCAAACATATGTGTTTAAATCACACTGACTTAATAGAAGCAAACTGTTTCATAGCTTATTCTCTCACCTGTTCTACCTTTCTTTTCCCAGCCATTTCTTTTCTCATTCTTCTGTCCTGCTTTTTCCCTTTGGCTTCCTTTTGCTGAGACCAGGATGATGACTATTGAGACAAAACAAAGAAAGAAGACTTCACATTGTCATTCTTCATGTCCCACTTTGTTGCACAGCACAAGTATTAAGTCTCTTCTACACAGAAGATGCTTCAATGTGGAAACCCACCTTTTGTTTGAACTTCTTCCTCTTGTCTTCTGTAACTCCTTCTCTGAGCCTTTGCTGTCTCAACTTCTCTCTTTGCTTGTCTCTGTGAAAGTAGATTAACAAATTTAACATTTAGCACAGTGAGGTACTAGTAGCCATTTGGCTACCGATTCCCCATAGCTTATGGGGTATGGCAACAGGAAGAAAACAGAGCTTCCAATACAGTGTACATGCAAGTCTTACTTGTATGGGATGTTGCTGATGTCAACATCTGCGGCAATGAATTCTGGGAACTGTTGCCCCCTCAGCTCAGGCATGCTGGGAATTTTCAGCAGCCCAAATCCTTTGGCTAAACTGGGGATGTGAAGATCTGGGAATAAAAGCAATATAGTATGATAAGTTTTTAGTCAAATATCTCTGTTATTGTTACTGATATGACAGAAATGTGGGATATTTCAGTACAATGTGACACCTTAGATTCAGCAACAACCTGGGAGTAATGTCTACTAATAAGATAAACACTACAAAACAGATTCCTTACCCTTGAACCTGAAGATAAGGCTGCATTCGTGTTTGCGGTAGAACTGTACAAAGGACACGAAAGCCCGCATGGCCTTCTCATACATGGCCCTGTATAAGGCATGGCAAAATTGAGAAGTCTGTTTTTGAACTTCAACAGTAAATCATTAAATGTTAAGTAAAGTACATGTATAGTATAGTATAGAATAGTAAAATGTTAAGTACGTAATAAGTCTCTTTCAGAAAGACAAAGCTATAAATTCTATGAACTTATGGAAACAGTTTAATTTTTTTTTTCCTCACCTGTCCTTTAGGGACATTTTCCTGAGTTTTGGCAGCACATCTTTTACCTCATAATCAGGTCTGAACTGTGTCAGGGTAACCTGCATAAAGGATACAAACATGTTAAAAATGATTAAAGACAAACAACTGCTAGCTAAAACAATTGCTGGCTAAAACAACTAACATTTTCTATTGGAAATATACCTGTATCTGTATAACAGGTATAACTGCCCTTCGGCCTAACATACCAGTTTTGAATGAAGGCATGAGGCATTGTATTACACTGCACAAGACACAGACAGGTAAAACATTGCACATCTAACTGCATGTGTTAATTATAAATTGTTTAAAGCCCACCTTCTGGTTGATTGCTATAAACTCTATGTACGTGTCCTCCTCGGGCAGTAGGAACACCACAGCACTGCCCTCACGGCCCATCCTGGCTGTACGACCACTCCGATGTACAAATGCACTATTGGGGATAAGGGAAGGACTTTACAATTAGAAACAACAACTTGATGGCAATCAGAGATGGCAAACTTCACCCCCTTCTCCATTGTGCTAAGCAACCCTTTTGGTCCTGGATACCAAATTAGTAGACAGAATATACACTCCCTTTGGTTGCATGTTTTTGTTTCATGTCATCAGATACAATGTATATCTTCCTCACCTTGCATTACTTGGTGGATCAAACTGCAGAACCCAGTTGACCTCTGGGATATCCACTCCTCTGGCCATGACATCAGTACACACCAGAACTCCACTGTGAATGTACAGAAACAGGATTAAAGAAAAGGACAACATAGGGTCCTCTGTCTTCAACTGAAAAGTGTTATAGACCTTAAATGCAAACTATACTGCTGTCCTTCTTGTTAAAAGACTTCGGGGTAAATATCCCTTCAAGATGTTAGACAGTCATGCTATTTTAAAAAAAAACACACTACTGAAACAGTGCTATAGTAGAAAATATTGCTAATAGTTTTAGAAAGAATACAAAGTTGGCAAACATACCTTTCTGCCTGTCTGAACTGTGCAAATATCTTGTTTCTCTTCTGCTTCATTTTCCCATGGATCGACATGACTCTTGTGTTCTTCAGAAGTCTGGAACAAAACAGCACAACAGAAATCATGAACTCAACCACGAATGGAACTCATAGACTTTCCAAGGAATTTATACTTTTAAAAATCACTAGCACACAAAATAGAGATACTTGGTTAGTTAGGGGCGTTGTCACGTATGTCGGACAATTGCAAGCTTTGGGGGGTGTTATGATGACCTACGACAAACATATGAGTGCTTGTGGGGTTGTGTGGCGAAATGGCAGAGCATTCAACTCAGAACCAAGAGGTCCTGGGTTCGAATCCTGAAGTCACCAACCTAGTGCCCTTGGGAAAGGCACTTTACATAGCTTTCCTCACTTCGTTCAGGTGAAAATGAGTACTAGTATGCCAGAATCATCATTATCATGACCGTGGGCATTGAAGGAAAACCAAACATATGGCTGTGCCACAAACTTGACTTACTCCCTGAGAGCACTGGAGAAGTAGTCCACCCCGGCACAGGTGCTGAAGAACACCATGTGCTTCTCGTTGCCATGGGAACGGAGGAAGGCTACCAGGTGGTTCAACTTCTCGTCACTTCTGCACATCTGGTAAGACAGAAATGGACCTGTGTTATAAACTTAAAATTCTGATTTTAAATACCAGTACAATTACATAAAAAGGCATACATAGCAATGCAAGGAGTAAAAAAGTATTTGTAACATCTTTTATCTTTATTTATACTATTGTAAATAGTTACCATGTACAGGTTGTCTAATGTGGCAGGTGTTCTTTGTTGTACCTGGAAAAAAAAAGGTGTCTTTGAAATACACATGATAACTTAAACTGCAGGGAGCAATGTTATGAATTACTACTTAGGAGTACAACTTACTATTCATAATGTTATTGGTGATGCCACAGGGGTGGAATCATTTCTTATTCTAAAGTAAAGTATATCAAAGACAGTACAAGACAATGGAAAGCATTGAAGCTACATACATTTACACGAAAACTGATTGAAGCTACATACATACATTTACACAAAAACTATGTAAAAGACTGAGTGCTTACATTTTCTGCGACATTTTTCTCCTTGACCGTGATTCTGACAGGGTTCCTGAGCCCAGCCCTGACCAGAGCCTCCACCTCTTTAGTCTGTGTGGCTGAGAACAGACCTGTTCTCCGCTGTTTGGGCAGGTACGACAGGATGGTGTTGATGCTGAAATAACACAACAACAATCACATGTAGTTAGCCAATGATCACTCAGTCATCAAATGGCAATCTGACAAGATAGCCAAGAAAGTATTTGAGCAACTATATTTCAAAGTCATGATTCAAAGGAAGCATATTCATTGCATACCCATGCAAATGCTTTTTTTTTTTCATTTGAAGATAACGCAACAAGAAAAACTGCATGCTAGTTAAACATAAACATTATACAAATAACTGGTACAATGCTATTTACCGCTATCTATAATGAGTCTTAATATACAGTACATACTAGTTTAAATCAACCTCCGTACCTTATCTCAAACCCCATGTCCAACAGTCTGTCTGCTTCATCTAGCACTAACACTTCCTACATTACAAAACAGTAACTGTTATTAGAGAAAATAAAAACACTGAAACAAAACTTCAGTGGCCTTTGTAACGCACACATTTTTTATGAATCATTTTTTATGTATACATTTTTATGTATACAAAGGGAAAAGGAAAATTTAACACAACAAATCTAAACTGGTATAGGGCAGTCTTGTCATCTTCTCCTTACCAAAGACTTGAGATGTCCGGCCAGGTTTAAGCCATCCTCTTTCCTGCGAAGGATGTCTTCTAGTCGTCCAGGTGTGCAGACTATGATGTTGGCCCTGGAACAGGTGATCAGCCATGACCAGTTTAGCAAAAAATGTTTATAGCTTGGGTAAACTGAGAAAAAAATGCATTCCTAATGACCTATGCAACTCAGAAAGCTATGTACTTTGAAAGGGAAATTCAAACCAACAAGTGATACCATATACGTATGTACTCCTGCGAAAGACTGATAGAAACAAACTGTACATGGTAGAGAAATCAGTTCATCCTACCCATTTTCTTGGTATTTCTTGATGTCTGCCACAGGATTCCCACCTCCAATTAGAAGAAGTTGACTGGAAAAGATATCAAGAACAACATAAGTAAGAAACAGCATCTCGTGGTCCACTTGTCAATCTTGCTTTCTACAAGGCAATCATAAGTTATTTTTAAGATCCATGCAAACTTGTGCAACATATCTGGCATGATATACAGTGATAATACAAACCTCAGCTGTGGCAGTCTTTTTGTGAAAGCTGATAAAACTTCATCTATCTGCAGGGCCAGTTCTCTGGTGGGTGTGATGATTAAAGCTCCTACCTGGAACACAATCAAGAAGACAATCATCATGCTGCAAATGATGGTTAGGGACAAACTCATCTAAAGTAAAATCTTAACAAGGAAAATCATAGATTTTGTACCTCCGGGTATTGTAATGTATGTTGCAGAATGTTGGGTGCATGTTGGGACTGTTCTTTGAATTAACTAGTGAATTCGCGCGAATACCATTTTTTTCGAAAAGTTTCGAAATGTTTGTAATTGGCTAAATGATGTGTGAAATCACTAATCCCCCCTAGCCGACTGGAGCCCAAAAATAGAAAGGACAGGAGGCATCCCGTGGCGAATCTGGCTGCCCGACCCTCAGCGACCAGCGATAATGTAAACAAACACAGTAACGGGTGTCCGAGACACGAAAAGGAAATACAAATAATCTTACGCCCCAAAACACATATACAATAAAACAAAAAAAAACCTGCACCATCTACAGCCCATTAACAGAAGATACACCGAGTCCCGAGAAGGTCTGAGACAGTATACCACGGTAAGCCGAAAACATCCGAAATTGCGCAAGAGGGCGTTGACCCCTGACCCATTGGCCCACCCGGAAGTTCGCTGGCTGCGACCCGCGCGATCCCACCAGGCACGAGACGTTGATTGACGGCACATGTGGTTCACATCTGAACAGTTTCAAAGAATGCTGACACCCCTCTGTGTGAAAGGTCAGATCAGTGGTCGCGACCTCAATGGTGATTATACATGCAAAGGTCAAAAGCTGAGGCCCGACCAACACTGAAAGGGGTGTCCATCGGCGGTCTAAACGCATCATTTTCACGCACTAAAACACACATACTAAAAAACCAAAACAACGTGCACCATCTACAGCCCAACAGCAAAACGTATACCAAGTCCCAGACATATCCGTCCACCCAAACGCGAGAAACGGGTGCGAACGCAATTTTCGTCTTCCCTCACAAAACCTCCGCGCTCGGGATATACATCCCTACCCGGAGGTAATTATGTAACTTGAAAACATATCTTCTGTATCTCTACTGTGAAACTTAGGTGCCACGAACATGAATGAACTTACAGGACATCAGACTTACTTCATGTTTCTTTAAGTTCTCTGTTCTCCGCTGCAGAATCTCTAAGATGGGGATGACGAAAGCTAACGTCTTTCCACTGCCTGTAACCTGGTAAATCAATATGGAACATTCCTTTGTAATACCAGATGATGAGGTATGATGAGGTCCTTACAGCGTTTAGTAATCAAACACCATTCGTAGCACAGTTTAAACTTTTAATCAAAACAAGGAGAAATCCTTGATCCAATCAAAATTAATTTAATCATCTAAAACAATAAAAAGTTGGACTTACAGCTTCTGCTGCGACATCTTTGTTGGACATAAAGAGTGGGATACAGGCTGCCTGTAGGATGATAATGGAATTAAACATCAGTGGCCATAGATTTCATGTTATAATGCTACTAAACATCACTACTACATGTACTATATACTACTATATGTTACCTACTAGTACTGCAGGAAAGTTGTTGTGCTATGCAGCTCTTTGATCATCATTCAATTCTCCATCATCAAACAGCTTTCTATTAAAGATCATGCTTTCAAACTTCACAATATTGTCTTCCTTCTCACCTGTACAGGAGTCATGTGTTGAAACCCCAGCTCTTTCAGTGTGTCGTGCGTCGAATCACACAGCTTCACGTCCAGATCTGTCCATGTGTTCTCCATGTTGTCATCTCAGAGTTTCACTTCCGGGTCGTCCTTGCCACTGGAAATGACGTCATATGCCAGAAAAGTGACGTTGCAGCTGGTTGCACCGGTCTGCGTGGCGTGGCATCCCCTGTGGATCTCTTTAGCACTGCAGGACAGTTTTTAAATCGTTGGCATCAGGGTTTTAGCATCATGGTAAGCAGAAGAATGAGGCATTTTCTTGCATTTTTGTTCTTTTAGTTAGTTATTGACACAATATGACACCGGAAGTTCTTCACGAAGGCCAGTGGTTCGTGTGCAAAATGTTAGTGCCGTGTGCAAAATTTTGGGCGCCATCTTTCCGAATCCTTCTGCGGATGCATATCAATCTGCTGGCCGAAAATCTAGGTTTTCAGGGATTTAGTAATTTAGAACCCATATTTGTCGTTCAAACAACATTTTATGATTAAAAAATATACGCTGAATACTGTTTTTACAACTTTTAGCTCGTTTGTATGAGTTTTATAGATCTTTTACTGCCTAGACCTACATTAAGTTGGGATTACTTTCTTCGGTGCGGAGAGTTATAGGTTGTCGACGTGTGCAGGAAGGCTGTTCATTCCTCCATCATCTGCCATTGGCGGACGGAACGGAAATTCCAAAATTATTCCTTCATTTTTGTCCCCGAGTAAAGGCTCGAAGGGTTCCGAGGGGGAAAGACGGCTCACGGAGAAGTGTGGGCCCACTGAGAAGCGCCATGGCTCGTCTGGTTGCCGTATACCGGGAGGAAGAGTACGAGTTTGACCGAAGACAGATCCC